AATATACTAAATTAATAACTGAAAGGAAAGATGGATCAAGAGTTTCCAAAGAAAACTCTCCAAGAGTCCCGAAGGAAAACTCAACCAATATATTCTGGCACCCCCATTAAAGCCAAAAATATCCCAAACTAATGTGTTTTCTTTTCTCTCAATTGAGTGCCTTTATTTACACCCTAACACATCAATACTTTTTTGCTTAATTTGGGTTCACAAGATCCTTTTTATCTACAGGAAGGCATTTGAGTTATAGCTCCTTTCATTTTATGTTTTAGGCAGGACTTGTAGGCAGCAAGCCAATGAAAGCCTCACTGGGTTCTATTGAATATATCACATCACTTTACCCGTCTGAAGATGAATCAAGCAAGATAAAGGAGGCTGTTAGGACATATGTTTATGGAGTAGATTTTGTTCGTGCTGCTCTTTCTGTTAACAATAAAAAGGTGAAGTGTTTTCCTTTACATTGCATTTGGGAAAAGATAAAATATAGGAGCAAAATGAGAGAACTGTGTTTCTTGTTTGGGAAAGAAGAGATAAAAAGGAATGAATGGAAAATAAAATCTAATTTCCTCTTCTCATTTTCTCTCCAAATTTGAGATAATCTGAAATTTATGTGGAAAATTTTACGATTCATAAATCGTAATAGAAACAATTTTAACATCATATTTCCTTCAAATTATTCTTGCTCATCAGCTCAATTTTCTGCTTCTGGTTTCAAGTTTCAACTTTCTACGGCATTTTTCTTCTTGGTCATCAGCTTAATATGACACTTTGGAGTTTGCACACAGCATATGCGACTTGGGAAAAATTATATTTCAAATTCACTTGCATGCAGCGTATGTAACAATCCCATTTGGAAAATTTTCTTTTCTTTTGCTTTGTATTTTCCTCGAATCCAATACATGAGAGGAAAATAAGAAAATAGATTCATCTTATTTCCTTGTTTTCTATCCTCAAGAAAGGAAATTTGCCAAAGAACGTTGGACAAGAATGGTATACCCATAGTTTTCACTAGTCTTTGTACTCTCTTTTTTTATAGCACTCTTCTTTATTTGTGTAACCTTCGGCTTCCCAAAGACTTCCGAAACTAAGGTCAAAAGTTTTGTATAGGTTACTCTTTTTCACTTCGAATATAAGCCTCGACCTGGGGTTCCAGATGTCATACGCACATTACACGACCATGGAGAACTTCGTGTAATGATGTTAACAGGCGATCATGAAGCAAGCGCATGGAGAGTTGCAAATGTTGCGGGCATCCAAGTGGTTTACTGTAGCCTTAAACCTGAGGATAAGCTATATCATGTGACAATAATTTCAAGAGAATCTGGTGATATTTCTTCTCAGTCAAATTTGCATTGATATTTTGGATCTTACAAGTTACTTCTCGATTTTCAAATGCATTTAGATTTTGACATCCAAAAATTTAGGGTCCGTTTGTAACTCCAGGAATGGACTATTTTTTGGTCGTGCTTCTTTAATTAATGAGGTAGTAGTTAGTTAATCAATGCAACTTTCAATGATGAGCCGGAGGTCTCTTTGGAAACAGCCTCTACTTTTGAGTAGGGGTAAGGTCTGCGTACACACACCCTCTCCAGACCCTACTCTTGTGGGATTTCAATTGGGTTGTTGTTGTAACTCCAAAAATGCCAGAGAAAGAAAATGAGAGGAAAATGTAGGGGCATAATTTGGACGGAAACATGTATAAAGACTAAAATAATCTAGGCAAATTATTGTATGGACCTTAGGTCCATGGTTGACCTTCATATATGCTAAATAAGCATTTTCCAAGTGTTGAAATAAGCATTTTTAAAAATAAAAAAATGTGTGTGAAGGTCCATGTGGACCTTAGATCCACCATAAAACCTCTTAGGAGTCTAAAGTCTAAACAAACATAGACTTATTGAAAAATAATTAAGATTATATTGTATATGTATTTCATTTTTCTTTGCATTTTCCATTGCAGCCCAAAACCAGAAAGTAACAGTCCATAGCAGTTTTATCCCTTTCCATATCATTTTCCGGGGTTCAAACATAATACATAGCCTTAATGTCTCAATTCATTTGTAATTTGTCAGTTGTCACATAATATTTGTGTACTTTTTTTTGCAGGGGGCTAATAATGGTAGGCGATGGTATCAATGATGGCCCTGCTCTTGCTGCTGCTACTGTTGGCATTGTTCTAGCTGAACGTGCCAGTGCATCAGCTATAGCTGTTGCAGACGTCCTGTTATTGCAAGACAATATTTCTGGTGTTCCATTCTGTGTGGCTAAATCTCGGCAAACAACATCGCTGGTATCTTCCTTTTTTCCTCATATGGTTACTGAAGATGCTTGTTGTGTTCTGATTGTCATTTTGTATTGTTGCTCTACTTTTCAGATTAAGCAAAATGTTGCTCTTGCATTGTCTAGCATTGCCTTTGCCTCACTTACATCGGTTATGGGATTTCTCCCCTTGTGGCTAACGGTATGATTTTTTTCTTCAAAACTTCTCTTCAGAATTTGGTTGGGGGATGTCTGCCAACAGTATAAGATTCATTAGAATTTGCAAAATGGGAGAATTGATAAGTAAGAGGGTTTGGCACATTGGCCAGTATTGATTCTATTTTATGCAAAAGAGAACCATGCCAAACTTTTTTTATTGCATCCATTTCCAATGGAGCTAAAGCAATCATTATTGACATTATTTTAGCTTTTGATAAATAGTGGTCCAAATAAGGCACATTAACCGTCCTTTTTTGTTATTCTTGAGGTTTCGGGTAATAATTGCAATATGCAACAATACATCAAATGTCTAACATAAAACCTCTTTGTTACAGCGGTCAAGTTGCATGTATCATGCCCCTGCAAACCCTAAATCGTATGGGATTATACTAGGTTTTGTTGCTGCTGATGTTCTGTAACTAAATAACTGAAAACATACTAATAATCTATCGGTTTTCAAAATCACTTATGAAATTTATAAGTTTCAAGATCCCTTGATCACATCTAGGAATGATACCAAAGACCTTAAATTTTTATTCTAATCAGTTTCCTCTATTTTAATTTTTATCCTTTAGAACAAGCATTATTATGACATCATATCATGTTTCTTTGTGATCATCCCCATGGCAGGTGCTTCTACATGAAGGTGGAACTCTTCTTGTGTGCTTGAATTCCATCCGTGCTCTTAATGACCCTACGTGGTCCTGGAAAGACAATATCTCAAAGCTAGCTAACCAATTTCGAAATGTAATTATCATTTGTAGAAGGCATAATGCCACTCGATGCACCACCATAAACAGAATTTCGTCAGTGTGAAATTCTAAGGCCTGCTCAAAATTATATTTGGTACATTTTACCTTAAACAATTAATAACAAAATAGAAGATATAGGAAATTGTTTGTAAGTCCTAAGTTTTTACTACTGCAAATTTTTTGTTTGTCTTTCAAGGTGGCAATCATCGACTGGAATTGTGATTATACTGCCTAAACATTGCAGCCTAAGTATTGCAGCCTAAATACTGGAGTACATTACTATTGTTGTCTCAAACTATAAGTTGTTAATGCCTTTCTGTGCATTGCAGACACATTTATCTTCAGAAACAAAACATTTGCTTCGTGCCTATGATCGATGAGCAGTACCCAGGATAAAACAGAGTAATAAAATACTCTGTATGATAGCCTCGAAAAATGAACAAAAAGAAGAGCAAGTATATGCTTTTTACTAGTATCTCAAATTAAATTGTTTGTTCAATTATTCACAGGATCAAATTTTATGGATTTTTTTCATTTATTTCTGTTATTTGATAAAATAATATAGTCATGCCATTACTAATTTTGTAGATCTTTTGATTTAGTTTTTAAATATACAGTAATTTTTATTTTTAAATCTACCCCTTGACACTCTATCTTTTACAACCTGCGTAACTTTGTCTTTGCCAACTGCGCAACGTCCACTGTTTCGTATGGGCCTTTAGCAATGTCAGGTTAAGTGACATTTTGATTTTATGCATAGATTCTATACCCGTGCTATGCACGAAAAAAATTATCATAAGATATATTTAAATGTTATGAAAAATGAACATATATAAAATTAATTACTTTGTCAATATAGTATATAGATAAAATGTTAGACTCGCGAACTCCTATGAAAATCCTAACTACTTTAGTATATAAAAAATCATTGTGAATATTTATGTTTTAATATACTCATGCAGAAGATAGATATTTTAACTTTAAATAAAATTAATTATTCCTAAAAGAACCTAACAAAGTAGGTATTTATGTAATCATATACTTCCTCCCTACATTAGCATTTTCTTTACTATTTTAGTATTTCGATCACTTTTGTTTGCGTATACTTTTACACGGAATAATTAATCATGTCCATGTCTCAAAATGAATGTATATTTAGCCCTTTTTCCCTACCATCATGATTTAATGTGGTGATCGATTAATTCCAGTTGTAAAAAGCAAAGCTTAGCCACACACCAACATTACTATGCACATGGTTATATATCAATACACTACCTATAAATTTATTTATTTATACGGAGTATATAAAACCAATTAGAAACCTGTTAACATCATAATTACTCAGGCAAAAATTTAAAACTAGTCCGGTTAAAATCAGTTTATGTCTGTACTAGATAAAATTTCCCCACCAATCGCTAACCAATCAGTTTTCTACCGAGGACGGCGACGGGATATAGACGTTCGATCGGCATTGGGCGGCACACACTATTAATTTTTAGGGAAAACGTCGGGCGTTCGGGGTGCCATTTTTTTGATCTATAATCGACTGCCATAAATGACGCAGGATAGCTTCCCAAGGGGTTCCTCGTCGGAACCGGCTTCTTCAACTGATCCTGCAATGTCCCAAAAGAGGTGCAAACATACCTTCAAAGCATCTTTAATCTTCAACTGATTATCGATTATAATACTGTAATTGTTATAATTAGATATATTATTTCTTTGCATCAAATCTAATAGATTCAACATACAAAGTTGAAGAAAATATTGAGATTCCATATTTTTTTTCATTTAAGTTGAATTATTATTGGTAGAACTGTCATGGTTCGTTGGTTTTCGGAAACTTGAAATGGAAGCAAGTACCCAAAAAATTCAATCATGAACTCCAACAAGAGCAGTCAACACATTGAAATTGGACTATTAATTTAAAGTTGTTTACTGTGCAGGAAAAGAAGGAAGTGGGATCAGCCTGAAGAGACATTGGTTTCAGCTGGAGCATGCCAGCCTCCAATTATTCCTTTCACAGGCATTGGATCTTTTCTTGGTGTTGCACTTCCAGGGCTAGGCCCAGCAATCAGTGCAACTTTGGCACAACAACACACGGTAGATCTTGCTAAAAATATAAATCATTTAGGGTCACTTGAGTGATAACTGGTTTCCTCTTGTGTTTCCTTAAGTTCTATTTATTTATTTTGTTTCATTTATGATACACAGACTTATAGGATAACACTATACTAAGTAAAAACAAAGTGGGATCCAAATATGATAATTTCTTCATTTTCGTAGAGATTTTTTAAGCTTCATTGCCAATGGAGCTAATAGAGTCATTTTAGACAATATTTTTGCTTCAGATAACTAATGGACTGAATCAAAATACTTCCCGTGCTTCTCATTTCCTATGAAGTTTTGGGCAGTAAATGCATCAATGCATCAATGTCTATCAGAAGTAGCCTCTCTATTTTTTTTCATGGGTAAGATTGCGTACATCTAGCGGCTAGACCACCACAGAGTTGGGATTATATTGGTTGGTTGTTGTAGTATTTTTACTTTCCTTTTTTTATGAACTTTTACTTTATGGGAAAATATATAGTTGCGAACTCTATTTTTGGTTAGGCTTGATTTTACCGTGCCACCCTCACAATTAATGATCAATACAACTTGACATTTCTGAATAACCTTGTTTGTTGGCTATTAAATCTTTTTTTGCAAATATGCATTTTCTTTCAATTTTATGATTTTTTCCATGATCTATTCCACTATTCCAGCCAAAGATACAAGACGAGTTGATTGCAAGAGAGATTGTCATAAATGATGCTGACTCCGCTGTTCGATACAAACTCACAAAGCGCCAAACCCAGGAAGAGGTGCTATTCCTATAATTTGAGTTTTATATCACCCATTAAAAAATTACGAGGCCCTAGACAGATACATTGGAGTGTTATGCTTGGATTATGTATGCTGTTATTTGAGGCTAAATCAATTTGCTGTTTTCCCAGATTCAAAAGATCACAGGTGCAGTGGTAATAACAAGGTGTGTTATTCATATAAAAAGAATCTGAAGTGCACATTCTTAATTGCCTCTCTTCTCATCATGTTATACATTTGCTAATTGGCCTTTGCAGGGGCAAGTACAGGCTTCCTACTGCACCTCCTGATGGTGGAAAGCCACTATATCTTCACATTTCTGCTGGAGCACATGTAACTAACTTGCTTTCTGTAAATTTATCTTTAATTCATTTATTTATAAAATATCAATGAGTTCAAACATGCTCCTATAGGTGTATTTTGTTTTTATTATTTTCTTAGTTCTTAGGAAGGGTTTCCATTGTCTTTCTTCATTTATGCTTAATGAATGATGTAAAATGTGTGAAATATTTTAGGCTGTGATGTTTATTTTTCTAATCTTTTGTATCTTGCTAAGTTTGTTTTCTTGTTTACCTGTAAAGACTTGCCTCTCTGTTACACGAATCTGGATATTTACCTGTGCCAATGTTTAAATTATCTGTCCGTAGTTGTTTTTATCTGCTTTCAAAGTGCATTACATTACATATTGCTGTTGTTGAGCTGTATTATAGAGTTAGTCATAGCACAATGCCATATTGGTGTTGTTGAGATGTATTATAGAATTAGCCTATACGGAGTAGTTTTCTAGCCCATAACTTAACGCCATCAACAAAGGGTATAACTTTTGGCTCAATTACATTACACTTTAACAAAGTCAAGTCTCATTTCCATCCTAATCAGAAACGAGCAAATCTAAAATCCCACCCTTGCTCTGCACTCTTTTTCGTCCAATTTCTAGCTGCCAGCCTCCTCTTAGTGACCTTGGATAATGTCTTGTACAAACACTCTTATCAGTTTACTATGTGGCATTAATATATCTGTGTTATGCAACCCCATCTTATGTAGGGGGGCCTTTCAATAGCACTTAATTTGAGTATTGTTGAGTTAAGTACCTTTCAATTCAATATTTCTTAGTTTAAATTTAAACTAAAATTAGTTCAATAGTACTACCAAGGTAGTCAAACTCGAGATTCTACCTAGGATAAATGTATAAAGTAAAGATAGTAGATTGTAAGATCTTGACACACATCGTAATATATGAAGTTTAAAACATAACACCTTGAGTCCTAGACATCATAAATTAAATCAATATTAAGTTTAAAACATAACATTATAACAAAAAATGCTAGGTATTAAAAACTTGATTCCTTGACATCTCAAACTTAATTGTCCAATGTCCACGCTAAAAGTGTAATCTTCCGAAGGTGCTTCATCCTCATCCAAATTGGCGACTTCCAAATGATTTTCTCGTTTAGGTGCAACATTCACATTTCCCTCTCCATATTGGACCATCATTTGGAGTTGGAATATCCAAGTCGTTATCTCTATGTACGCCTTCACCCTCTCTGCCATTATCTTCCATAATCCACTTATCTAAAAAAGATCTTCTAAGTTAAATTTGAGTTGATCTCCTCGCTTTCTTTCTTTTTGCAAATTTGAGGAACCATAACAACAACCTTGAAGAATCCCGCAACAGCAAGATCTGGGGAGTTAGCCATAACAAAAACAACATTATTCATTGTTTTATGCTTCAATCCATTTTTTTCTTTGTCTAGATCTAATCATACACACAAGCTTATAAAATAAGGAAGTAATGTATAACTACATATTTTACAATGTATTAGAAATCTTACCATTTGAAATGCACTCAAATTATGCTTGCACCAAGATGAACTACATGTCAAGCTTAGTACTCTAATTATGAATTTATGAAACTCTGGATGTTCATCTCCATACGATCCCCACCCAATTTGCTGAACTATTCTTATCAAGTGTCTTTCTAGCCAAAAGAGTACCATATAGGTTTGACACATTTCTTAAAGTCATTTAAATTAGACAGGGACATCAATTTATGTTTGTTCTTGAACACTAGGCGCCATGCATGTTATACACTTATATAGCCATTGTCTAACTTCGAAATCAGCTTAAATTCAGGACAATAGTGCAACTGAGGGTTATGAAAACAACCAGTCGCATGCAAGGGCCTATAAAGTTGTTTGTCCCATCTCTCATCAATGTTGTTCCACAGGGGCTTATAACTGAACATAAGTACACTACATAAGTTTGAAATAATTAATCTACAAAGACAAATATCATTTAAAGACATTCACTATATATCTTGTTAAATTGTGAGTTTGAATACCCTCAGTGTTACTGAACACCCCCTTAGTAGTATTGTACTATTGCTGTTCTGATATCTGGATCTAATATTTGCATGCTTTACTTATCAGAAATGAATATATTCTGGTTCTGATGCACTTGCAACATTATATGTCTGATTCAGTTAGAAACAACAGTAGAGAAGATCAAAGCAGTTGACCATGCAGCGTCACTTGTGGAAGAAATTCTGAAAGAGGGTTCATCAAGCAATGGATTGAAGGTTTTCTTTTTGCAAAGTTACTGAAAGAGGCACCCAATAGGATTAATGTAATGATTAATTTTGCCTAATGTAAATTTGTGGTCAGGCTAATCCCTCCATGAGTATTTGTGTCTATGTGGGCTTTGAGGTTGAAGCATCCTTGAACATTGTTGCTCGTATCCGAGGACCAAATGTAAGCTCTTTTCCACACGGTTAAATACATGCATACTTTCATTCCTTCTTATTGGCTGTTGGCCAGGGCAGTGAAGTATGATGGGGGTAGGAACACTTCTATTGTAGGGACATTGAAATTTATGTTAATATCTTTTTAATTGAATTTATCACAGTGAAGGTCCCAAAGCGATATACAGAGTTTTTTTTTTTGTGATTTCATTTCCATGATGAAGCATTCATTTGGATTTCTTGTGAAGTTTATTTTTGCTCAATAAAAAAGAAGAGACTCTAATGTCCTTAGCTTTCTCTGACTTCTCCGTCCATTGGGAGAGATTCTTTTTGTTGCTGGTGGTTGCCTTTTGTAAGCGCAGGACCAATATATAAATCACATTATGAATGAAACAGGAGCAACTGTTATGTTAAGAGGTCAAGGCTCAGATGGCTCTGAAACTGTACAGGGTGAAGGATTTATTGTTGTTGTATCACAATAATATACTATTCCTGATTATGATGCTCATATTCTGCGATTAGCTGATTTTTGCATGTGGCTTAACTTTCAGATACACATCAACCACTACATTTGTTCCTATCAAGCAATAATCCAAAAAGTCTTGAGAATGCAAAACTGTTGGCAGAAAATCTGTTGGATACTATATCTGCAGAGTTTGGTGCTTCTAGGTATTGCATTTCATTTTTCTCACTGGTTTAAGTGTGATTATACAATTGTGAATTGTCATCATTTCTCAATGTTACTATTTCATTGGGCCTTTGACTTTTTAAAACATAGGGTGTCTTCTTCTAAAGTTTATGGTGCTGTTCCTCCCCCACCACTGCTATTGGCTGGGAGTAAGAGTTTGGGAGAGGAGTTGGAAGCAAATACTATTCAGGATGCCAATTTGAATGCCGCAAGTATGGGTGTGTCTGTACCAGCATCTGCTTCTGGTGTGAACAGTAATGTTTCTAGAGGAATTGTATCACATTTTTTAGGCTCGTTGAATGTGCTGCCATCTCAACCACACACAAATTACTACCCATGTATGCCAATCTCAAGTGGAACAAGCTATATGGGTTATGGTGGGATTTATCCCCAAGTCACACCTTTGCAACAAGTTGCCTTAGCACTTAGGCAGTCAATCTCTGCAACAGCTACAAGCACTCTGGAAACATCAGCAACAACTGCAAGACCTCTGACTACTATGACATCCTCCATTCAGAAGGAGCGCCCCCCACACAAACGCAAATTCAGAGAATTGCCAATGGGAAATGCCACAGCAAATCTGCTTCAGGTATTAGTGGCTGGAGTCCAATGACAATTACCCTTCTAATACTGTTTGCAACTAGAGTTGAACAGCATTTAAATAAAGAGTGTTTTTCCTTTTAGTCTGTCCACATCGGTCTGCTTATTAGATCTTGTGAGTTGTGACACTCCTTTCATCCATTGGACTTATGAAGGCCACCCATGGAACGATTGAGATGCGAATTATCATGCTTTTGTTTTCAAGGCTGTGGAACTAATAGTAATCTTTAATTCATACTTGTCATGTCAGTAATTGCTTGCTTATAAGACATGATTTGTCTGGGGAATGTAAAAACAGAAGGAAACTTTTGTTCCCCTTTTTTTTTTTACCAAACTAGCAGCTGAAGTTTTTATTTAATAGAGTACATCTTATATGGCCATTTTGAAATCAGCTCCATCACTATATTCTTTTGCATAGGGAGGGCCTATTTGTGCTTTGAAACTGAGGCTGCTTAAGTGGTTGGACTCAATTTAAGCTTTGTGATCTATTATTTAATTTAAAATTCTTACCTCTTTTCTCCAAGCAAGATGCAATGATATGTCTTTACTGACCTTTACTACTTGATATTCCAGGTATTTTCTCTGACCTTCTAAGAAGCTAACATGGCGATTCTGGACCCTATTGGGCATTTGTATGTTTCACAGGGTTTTATGATCTGGAAGTTGCATGGAATTGCTGCATGTTATGGTGATAGAACAAGATTTTAAACTAACCATGCTCTGTTGAAGGACACGACACATTACCGGGTGCAAAATATAGAAAAGAAGTTACATATTTGTCTTTTTTGCATCGGCATCTACCCAAAACAGTTCTGCATCCTTTCCAAAAAAGAGTCATGCTTGAAACCTTAATTTTGTCCCAATAAAGAGTCCTTTTTGAACAAAGAAGCTTATTTTCGTCATACTTAATGAGAAAGTTTCCTTAACAAGTTGTGTGTTAAGTTTAGTGAAACCGAAAAATACAACAACAAAAAAATTTAGAAATATATCTATATTTGATTATAGACCAATAGTTGTACTGCACCAAAATTTAAAAGTTCATTTGTGAAACAATACTTCTTTTTATGAGAAAGAACATTTTGTCGTCCATCTTTATAAAAAAGATTCTTTTTTGAAAACTAATTTTTGTCCGAACAAAGCTTTAGTTTTTTTAAATAAACAGTGTACGACTTCAACAACAAGAAACCCATTAAAATCCCACGAAAGTAGGATCTGGGGAGGTTGTGTGTAGAGAGATTTTTTCCAAAAGACCCCTGGCTTGAGCACAAAAAGTGTACAAGTTGAGTATGTTAAGTTTATTTAAACAAACAAATGAATTTAAAAGTATAGCTATATTTGGTGATTTCATTGGTTATTCCTTATTTAAAAATTTAATAGTTGTACCTTCGATCCTTTATGAAACATGTCTCTCTTTGTTGGACAGAGAGATTATTAAAGTTAAATTTCTACAAAAAAAATAATAGTTGTACCTTTGATGATGTTTAGTCCCTCATTATTCCTTATAGAGAGATTAGTTGGTTCCTACCTTTTTTAGGGTTATAGTAATAGATTGTTGTAATTGAGCATAGTGATTGCCTACCCTGTTCTTTGTCCTGCAATGATGGACCACAATTGATGTTTTGGTCAAAGATGTTGAACTTTGGAGTAAGTTAATAATATATTATTGATTTATGATGTGAATCTAATTTAAAAGAGTTCTTCACTAAGAATATTCTCATAAAAGCAAAGTGTTTGTAATTTTCACTAAAATGAATCAATTAAGACAATTGTCAAAACTCGGCATCTTTGATCTATATTGGTATTTGTCTACTAGTTGTGTTTTGACAAACAAAAGACGTGAATGACAACAATGTTAATAACTTGGGGGTTTGTACACCAATGTTTCTATATCATGTATGTGTTGCCAATCCCAATACATGACTGGTATTGAATCTGATATCCTGGAGCAGGAATGCTTTATTTTGTTAATAGTTAAGAGTGTTAGCTGATTGTTTTTAAGTGTTATCAGTTATATACTGTATAATTTTTCAATAACTTTTAGGATTCTGAATTGGGGTTTCTTCTAAAAATCTATGACAACACTTGCAGACTCCCAAAGATCATAATCTAGCTGCAGATGCTGGTGCTAGGGATAATAATATTGTTCCAGGCCCAATGGTCTGCCAGCTATCTTCTCGTGTAATGCCACCACCACCACCTCCTCCCAAGATGATGAAGCCAATGGCTCCTCCGCCACCACCAAAAACCAATCATTTAACACCTAAAGTGCAAGGGGTAACCAATGTGCCTCATAAGCTGTCGTCGGAAAATGTTTCATCAACCCCTAAAGTGCATGGGATAACTAATATGCCCCATAAGCCATCGTCTGAAGACTTGCCTGGTACATTCACGGATCCATCTCTCCATTTTTATGTTTTTTTGGGAAGGTTTTAATCGTATGAAATCAAACAATTCATATTTTAACATGTTTTAAGCGTATGTATTGCATTAATTTTTGTTCTATTTGATTTCATTCAAACAATTCATATTTCAACATGTTTTAAGCCTATGTATTGCATTAATTTTTGCTTATTTGATTCTATGCAAAAGTGCCTTGGAATCTTGTGAAATTTTAGGATGTCGATCTATGAGTTAGGAACTTTCAATCCCATGGTGGATTTCACAAAAGAATAATCCAATTGAAAGATATGAATGTTGTAAGATTTGTTGTAGAAAAAGTTGTAAGAATAACCTTTGTGGGCGCGCGCACACACACACACCCGCATACACACACACACACACACATATACATACATAGATTTTGGTTCAAATGAGAATGATGCATGGTGACAAAGTAGAATGCATATGATCTATTAGATTTAAGATCTAAGGTATTAAAAATAAAAAATTCTGGAAAATTGAAAAAATAGCGGTGGCAATTTTGTAAATAAATTGAACTTTCAAAAAATGCACTAATACAAGCGCAAAATACATCACGACAATCTGAAAATGCACCATTCTCATATTCTCGCAGTAAGGATATTCACACACACACACACACACATGAACACACACACTCACTAGTGCTACTGGTGCCATTTGCTTATTCCAATTCGTTTGGGGCATTTACGGTGCCTCGTTGGTAAAATTGTGGTTCCTACCCCCCTAAACCCCCCACCGCTCCCCTCCGTACCCTGGCAATAGTATATTGCCTGGGTAGGGAGGGGATGTAAGCATTTGGTGTATAAGTTATTGATGTCAAAATAAAATGAAACTAATAACTTATACACCTTACTCATACCGTATATAACTGTATACTGTATATATTGTATATAACTTATACACCAAGTTTTACCAGTTATACTGTATTAGTGTAAGCTGATTGTTAATAGCTAAGAGTTGTCACATTTCTTCTCTTTCTTCCCAACAAATTTTAACCACTCACTTTTTTTTTTGTCAACATTTTCTTAAACTGCGTGAAGTCAAAATGTCCTAATTAAATTGGGACAGAGGGAGTATAATTTAATAAGACATTGGGTATATCCTAATTTAGCATATTACAGTAAATCTGAATTTTCAAAACTTGTGATGTTCTAACACTTGATGATGTATTTTCTGGCAACTCGCGTGCCAATCCGGACCGTCAGATGGGCGCACACCTGATGGTCCGTAGATTGAGTGGTGGAGTCGGTCACGCAAGTGGGGGTGTGGATTGAAATCTGCACCATCACAGGCTCCGACGCCTCCTAGTTGCTCCAGCTTTTGATGTTCCAGTTGACTTGTGCAGTTTCAGTTGTGGAACATAAAGAAATAAAAAGATCAACCCCAGCATTTGATACTCTATGTTCATTTGTTTATTTTAATAAAGAAGTTGCTGAAAATGGTGGCTTGTTTCTGCCATTTGATGCTTTTAGATACCCTAGTGAAGCTAATGGAGTATGGGGATGACGATGACGATGACACCGAGGTTACTGCTGCTGAAGAGACATTGCAAGGGAAATCAAAGGATGTACCCGAGGCTCCGAAACCTTTCTGGGCTGTTTAAGACAGTGTTGGCCATCTGCAACTTTTCTACATTTCAGTCCATGGTAAACAAATCACATACTCGCCCTGCAGACTGAAGTATTTATATGGAGAATGGTCTATCATTAGAATCTATGGCTAAGAATGTGACAATATCAGTTTTTCTAAAAACCAAGAGCGGCCTCCACCCCACCCCCTGATCTTTGCCTACAACATTGATGTCTGAGGCAAATCGCAAAGCTAACCGGGCAGGAGGTCAAGAGGTAACTCATAGTTCACACTCATCTTTTGTATTAGCTTCGTCGTAGATAGTTATGACAGGAAGCAAGTCCAATATGACTGCCTTTACACAGTTGCACTACTTATTCTGTTTTCCCATTTGTGTCATAATCATTTTTTCCCATACATGTCAAATTTACCAAGGGATGGATCTTTTTAAACGAGTAAGTCTATTGTTGAACCACACGTACAATGTTATTGTCCATCCACTTCGAGTAACTAAGCAATTACTTACTTTCAAAAAAAACTAAGCAATTACTTTGTTAGTTAGCATATCTTGATAAATAATACTCCCTTCGTCCCAATGTGTTTGTCCACATTGCCTTTAGCACATGGGCAGACGGCCGAGGAGAGCAAAGAATACAAATAGACTAATGTACCCTTACTTTAAGTATTGGATGAGAGTTATAGGGAGTACAATTAAAAATAAAAAGGGGCGAAAGAGTCAATTAGATGACTCATATGTAAAGTTGAGTATTAATTTTAAAGGGAAGTGGATAAATTCAATGGAATGACCTAAAACAAAGAAAAGTGGACAATTACATTAAGACGAAGAGAGTATTTCCTATGTTCCATAGTAGTGCTTGTGTTGCTTTATGAAATTTTTTGTAGTTATTTTCAATTCTTTATATAAAAATTCGTGTAAAATTAAAATTTGTATGTTTAAAAATTTTTGCACAAAAAAAAATTGTATTTTATTTTATCAAGTGAACGGGGTAGTACAATATATTTGTACTCTCTAGTTTCCATTTTCATCCTCTTACCTGGGGATGGATGACGCTTAGTGCTAACCATCGTCAAGAGAAATAACAATCTCATTGAATTTACTACCTCTGTCCCCAAGTATTTGTCTAGTTTTGACTTTTGTCGGTCAACTATTTTCAACCGTTGACATATAATTAAATAAAATATACATTGTATATTAATTAGATAAAATAGTATTTTGAAAATATTTGATATAATAAATCTAATAAAATTATTTTTGTATCAATATCTAATATCATTTTTATTTAATTTGAGGTCAAAGTTTACCAATTTTGACCGAAAAAAGTCAAAAGTTAACAAAAACTCAGTGGCGAAGGGAGTAACATCTAATGCAATTTTTGACATAAATTTTGCACACCTTCACTTTTGAGTCGTTCGGTATTAGTCTCTTTCCTCTTGACATTTAGTCCTATAAACTTTTGATTTGTAAAGTTCAAGTCTATAGCAGTAACAAGAAAAAACGCCATTCTTAGCTTAAGACTGGCTTTAAGGCTTCCTTCCCATTGAACAGAATTAGTATATCCACTTATCAAAAGCAAAGTTAAGTTGTGTGCAAACCATTGCGTAAATTAAGTGACGAAACAAAAGTGCTTGGAGTACATCAAGAATTTGACTCTGAGCTTCTGATAGACAAACTAAACAACAATTCTCTCTATTTGCATAGATAAATGTTGTCTATGACCCAATGTGTGTCTATGAGAGCTTTGAATTAATGCTAAAATTGTGTCAAAAACTTGATGTCCAGGATATTTTTTAAAGGAAAAGCCTTCACGTTTCCATCAGAAACTGAACAACGAAAAGAAACAAGTTCTCCGAAAAAGTTTATCCTATTTATTCTTTATTGCAGGTAGAAATTGCTTTAGAGGTATTTTTTTATTTAAAGTGTTTGTGAGTTTTGTAAAAAATGAAACAAGAAAATCACTCCCATATCCTTCCGGACATGGACTACCTTTCTACTGCGCATTTTCAATTTTTGGTAGGTTTCTATGTCGACTTTCTCTTTTTCGATCCTTTTATATATGAAAAATGCTAGGGGTACACCAAATGGTGTACCCCAAATATCCCCCACCCTCTCCTTGTCCACTAAAAAAGGCAAAAAAATTCAAAAAAATAAGTAAATAAAAATCAAATAAAAATGCGTGGATGAAAAGAGGGTGGTGTACATTTGGGGTACACCTTTTGGTGTACCCCTAGCATTACTCTTTATATATATATATATAATTTGAATATGAGTGTTGGACATCAAAGGTGGACCCCTCACGGAAAAAATAGAGATTTTGAAAATGATATTCAACAACTATGTGTTTTTTTAAATTAGTCACCAAAGTTAATTAATTCTCGTTATTTGAGAATAATTTTTAGTTCAGTATTCCCGACTAATGACCGTTAAAACACCGTTATAACGTCGTTAAAGCTTATAATATTTTCTCAAAATGATACTCTCTAACTGTGTATTTTCTCAAATTGGTCTTTTTTGAAATAAGAATATATATTGACTTTGAAAAAATATTTTAAATTTTATAGGATGACAATATAATACTAAAAACTATAAATATAATTTTATAAATTTGAAAGTAAACGTTTTAAATTATTTACAGTAATTTAAAAAAATATCACGTAAAAAAATGTTTAATAAATATTAAAGAAATTACTATAAATAAGAATAAAACATTGAGAAAGAACTTCTATTTTGATAATTTCTTTAGATTTTTACTCTTATTTAAGATAATTTCTTTAACATTTATTAATTATTTTATTTATCTGATTCCGTCGAGGGTGCGCCATTGATTCATTCATGATTCACCCAACCGCTTATTCCAACAATCCTCCCCAAAAAAGGTCAATCTGTTTGCTTTACCCCATCGCCCACAAAGAGAAACGGGGGAGTACGTGTCTCCCTCTCTCTAACGGAGTCATATTTTCTAATGACTTTTGAATTTTTTGTGCCCCTCCTTAAACCAAACACTTCCTTTCCACCCACTTTTTCCTGTCTTTCAGTGTCTTTGTCATCATCCCCTTGATGAATGCGACTTGGGCCTCATTTTGGTGTACCAACAAAAATTGTACACGGTTTGACTTTTCAGGTCAAAGTTTCCTTAAAAATTACTCTTTCCGTTCATTTCTTCTCTCCATTTTGAAATTTGAATAATGAGCAAAATCATATTTTTTAAAAAATTATTTTATTTATAAGTTGCTATCTCAATAAAAGTAAAAATTACATTGTCTAAAACTACATTAAAAACAAGATTTCACAAAAATATTTTATTCTATTAAATGATTAATGAAAACATTCAACCAAATTAATACTAATTGCAAAGGAACAAAATAGGGTAGAGAGTATGATAATTGTACTATATTTAAATATGGTTCTTTTATCAAAAAAAGACTCCTCTTTTTTTTCCGCGACGTCCGAAAAAAGATTCTGCTTTCTAGCTTTGAAAAACTTTTTGTGTTTCATAATTTCTGTTCCCTGCAATCGCTTTTAGCATTACAACTTTACTTTTCTTAAACTTTATGTCAAATTATAGTAAGAGCCTTTTTTGAAGATGGGAAGAGTATAAATATACAGGGAAGTTCGGGAGACATTAACTACAAAGTCATCTAAATTTTGGGGTGCAATTGGAGGCTAGGTGGTGGGGTGTCGGTTCGGGTTAGGTCAGGGTAGGAGGGTTTACCGGGGGTAGGAATTATCAATTTTTCAAACGAAGCACCGTAGGTGCCTCGGGTCATCATATGACATTGAAGTTCAATGTCACTTGAACAGAGGTGACAAATATAATACTTCTTCCGTCCCAAATTATTTTTTACAATTTGACTATTTTGGTCAAATTGCTATTCACATTTAGAGGTTTATAATTAACAAGCAAATGTATACACTAAATGTCTGTGATTAGAGACACTTATTGTCTATGTTTGTGTGATGTACGAATGGAGTAAACAATTTAGGTATACCTCTAACATGACCCAAAAAGAATATCAAAATGCACCCTTAACATCCGGCCTCCATCTAATTTTTCAGTTTTAAAACAAAAAAACATCTACAAAAAAACTTTGTTTTACATTGAATTTTGCTACCTACGGTTTGTTTTTTGAAAATTTTATTTTGAGTTTTTGGAATTTTCTGCCGGAATATCAAAATATGTTTTGAAAATTGACGGAATATTTGAACATATTATATGTTTTATTTTTTTACTTTGTGTTTTGAATTTTATTTTTTCCATTGAGGGCTCCTTTTTGAAACGGAGTAGAGTATGTTTTACTCCGTATAATATTCCGGAAAAAATTTTTAAAAAGTCAAAATAAAATTTCCAAAAGGCAAAAAGTCCGTAGCAAAATCACTCTATTCTTAAAAGCAGGAGAATTATTTTTCCGTCCAGTGCACTATAATCCTGCACCGTCGATATCAATGTACGAAGAAGATCTGCGGTTATGATTGGTTGTGTATTATTACCAATTTAGAAGGATATATTAAAGGAAACTTCTGACTAATTCAATTATACGAATTGAATGCATTGTAATTTGACCAAAAAGGAAGGAATTGAATATTTTTACAACCGTGTGTTTTTTCTAGAAACATAAAGGGTGTTATTGATATTTTTTTATTTTTTTACAACCGTGTAAAAAAAGGTAATTTATTCCTATGAAAATTAGCATTTTAAAAAAGGAAAGCTTTAAAGGAGGATATAACGTAAATATTTACAACCGTGTGTTTTTTGTAAACAGGTTAACAAGGAAAAAAATTGAGAAATAAAAATGTACGTTATATTTTGATATCATTATTATTTTTAAAATATGTGATAAAAAAGGGAATTTATTCATACAAGAAAAGAGGATATTTTAAAAATGGCAAACATAAAGAGATGGAACATGATTATTTTAAAAGGTATTTTATTCCTATGCAAATTACCATTTTAAAAGAACGAAAGATTTAAAGAAGGATATAATGTAAAGATTTAAAACCGTGATTATTTTAGTATGTTAAAAAAGGTAAATTATTCCTACGCAAATTAGTATTTTAAAGAATGATATAACGTAAAGATTTAAAACTGTTTTTTTGTAAACAGATTAAAAGGGCAAAAAATTGAGAAATAATTATAGAATTTTTATATTATTATTATGATAATATGTCATAAAAAGGAAATTTATTCATATGAAAAAGGAGGTTATTTTTTTAGTACGTGATAACAAGAAAAAAAATATTTATTCATACGCAAATTACCGTTTTAAAAAGAGGAATTTACTTAAATAGCACTAAAACATAATGACTTTCCCTAAATAGCACGACATGTGTTTTTCTTCCCAATGTAGCACTTTTAGTCATTATTCAAGTAAATATTCTCCATTACAGGATATTATATATGGACATTATTAAGTTCTATTTAGGGAATAAAACAATTTAAGTGCTATTTAGAAAAATGACTTAAGTTTTAGTGCTAT